TCAAAGAAGGGCTCAGTGTATGTCAATGAAATTTTTTTCAAAAGAGCTTTAAATTTCTTCCTCCCTCCCTCCCTCCCTTCCTTTCACTTTCAGTTGTAAAGCTGTGCCACCCAATAACAGCCTACGGCTTTTCAACTTACGGTAAGTTCATTAAAATTAAATACAATAAAAATTCACTTGTTAGCTACACTAGCCACATTTCAAGAGTTCTACAGCCACATGTTAAGCAGTGCAGATGTAGGACATAGAACCCATTACTGCAGAAAGTTCCATTGCTAACGTTGTCTTAAGGTATTAAAGCATATACACGACCATTTATTGGCCACCGATACTGGATTCTTATTTTTTATTTCTTTTCATTTATTTATTTTTTTAGAGAGAAGAGAGAGGGTGAGTGGGGAAGAGGGGCAGAGGGAGAGAGAGAATGAATCTCAAGCAGACTCCGTGCTCAGCACAGAGCCCGCCTGGGTGCTCGGTCCCACGGGATCATGACCTGAGCTGAAGTCAAGAGTCAACCACTCAACTAACTGAGCTGCCCAGGAGCCCCTGGATTTTTAATTTTTTAAATATTTACTTAATTAGAGAGAGAGAGAGAGACAGAGGGAGAGGGAGGGAAGGGCCGAGAGAGGGGAGAGAGAGAGAGAGAGAGAGAGAGAGAGAGAATCCCAAGCAGGCTCTGTGCTTGGAGTCAGAAACATCCTACTCCTAGTCCTACCCAGCTCAGTGAGTCCTCCTTGCTAAGATCAGGGAGGACTGTGCTTGGAGCACAGAGCGTGACTCGGGGACCGATCCCATGAGAACCTCGAGATCACAACCTGAGCCGAAACCAAGAATCAGCCGTTTAACAGACTGAGCCACCCAGGCGCCCCTTAGTTTGCATTTTCATTTCGTTAATGTATTTATGTCATCCCCACACCCAGCGTGGGGCTCGAACTTACAACCCCGAGCTCAAGAGTCACGTGCTCTTCTGATTGAGCCCGCCAGGTGCCCCAGATACTGGGTTTTTAAGACCCCTGAGAGGGCGCCTTCAGCAATTTCTCCTGCCCTCTGCCCTGTCCCCGGCCACCCCTGATCTGCTTTCTGTCCTCCTAGATTAGTTTGCACTTTCTAGACGTTTACATAAATGGAAGCTATGATTTTTTTCACGCTTTGGTGGAAAATTTTAGACACGTACACTAATTGCGAGCCCCGTACAGTGAGCCCCATGTGCTCGTCGACCAGGTCAACTATTATTACCGACTTTCTCCTAGTCCATCTATTTTCCTCTCCACTTTTTTTTTTTTTTGGCATGTTAGCGTTTGAAGGTACATTCCAGACCTCACGCTATTGCACCTGTAAATACTTCAGTATGCATCTCTAATAAATAAGTTTTTATTTTATTAAAAAAAATTTTTTAATGTTTAGTTTTGAGAGAAAGAGGGAGAAAGTGTAAGCGGGGGAGGGGCAGAGAGAGGGAGACACAGAATCTGAAACAGGCTCTAGGCTCCGAGTGTCCGCACAGAGCCCGATGCAGGGCTCAAACTCACAAACTGTGAGATCATGACCTGAGCCACACAGGCATCTCTTATTTTATTTTTAAAGTTTATTTTGAGAGCGACAGCATGGGAGGAGCAGAGAGAGGGGGAGAGAGAGAATCCCAAGCAGGCTCCACACTGCCAGCCTAGAGCCTGACATGGGGCTTGAACTCACAAACAGTGGGATCATGACCTGAGCTGAAATCAAGAGTTGGATGCTTAACTGACTGAGCCACCCAGGTACCCCAACAAATTAAGTTTTTAAAAGAAGTACAAGACCATTTTCACCCCCAACAAAAATTTTATTGATTTTTTTTTTAAGTAGGCTCACACCCAATGTGGGGCTTGAATTCACAATCCTGAGATCAAGAGTTGCATGCTGCATCACCTGAGCCATCAGGCGCCCCCACCCTCGACAAAAATTTTAAAATGTCTTAATGGCATCTAAGATCTACTCAAGTGTCTCAAAAATATCTTTTTAGAGGTGGGTTGGGAATTAGGATCC